CTTGTCAGTGAAAGGGACCAGACCGTCATACAAGAGCCATCTTGTTTGACAGCACCTACTGAGGAAGCCGCCTGCCATGTAGACCAACAGCCACAGCCTGTCAACCCTTGTAAAAAGAATGATCTTCAAGGAGTGGCTGACCTAAAGTCCTGCTTGCAGCTCACTAACACAGACCTTCCTCAGCCGCAGAGAGGGCCAGTTAAACAGCAGGAGCAGGACAAGAAACAGAAGACTCGGCGCCAGAAGTCGTCTTCCTCTGTCAAAAACATCTGGGTCTTCGGAGGGCCCATCACACCTGCACAAAAACCAAATGTGACAACAAAATCACAGAAGAAAAGGAAGTCTGCTGTTATTTTTGACACACGGTTAGCTGTTAAAAATGGAGTGACTCCAAACCCACTGCCTGGCATTACATTCTTCTATAATGATGGGCTGAAACTTCAGCAGTCTGCTGAGAAAATGAAGGCACAGTCTGCTTTGCCAGCTGATGCACATTCATCTGGTAAAAATGAAAAACCACCTGCAGTGGAAAACAAAGAACAGTCTGTAGTGACTCCAAAACCAGTGTCAATCATTGCTGAAGAGGAACCACAGCAGGCTGCTGATAAGAAGAGCAGCACTGGATCTGAGGTCAACTTGGATCAACCCAAACAGGCCCTTCTTCAGACTCCTGAGACTGACCTGCATCTGCTCCTAGCCATGAAGGATGACCAGATATCCGATCTGATAAACCAGAAAGCTCTGTGGGAACAGGAGAAATCCTTCCTCCTTAACTGGGTCAACACAGAGGTCCATAAGTACATGGAGGCTAACTCTTGCCTGCAGGCAAATCTGAGCCATGTGCAGAAAATGCTGGAAAATGAACGAAATCATTGGTATAAGGAAAAGTCCTACCTCATGGAGTACATTGTGGCCATGAGGCAGGGCACAAACCTGAAGGAAGAAGAGAGCACAAACAATCTCAATCTGCATGTCGAAAATCAGGGAAGTGAAGACCTCCATTTACAAGACAAGTCTGCAGAGTTTGTCAGTGACAGAGAACAAACTGTCATACAAGAGCCATCTTGTCTCACCGCACCCAGTGAAGAGGCATCTGGCCATGGCGCCCAAGAGCCACAGCCTGCGAACCCCTGGAAAAATAATTTTCAAGGGGTGCCTGATCTAAAGTCCTGCCTGCAGTTGAATAACACAGATTTTCCTGAACTCCAGAGAGGGCCAGTTAAACGGCAGGAACAGGGCAAGAATCAGCAGACTCGGTCTCAGAAGAAGACCTTCAGACAACGTGGTGTCTTTGGATTGTTTGCTACACCTGCACAACAGTCAGCAGTGACTCTAAAACCACTGCCAACCATTGCTGAAGAGGAACCACAGCAGGCTGCTGATAAGAAGAGCAGCACTGCATCTGAGGTCAACTTGGATCAACCCAAAAAGACCCTTCTTCCAATTCCAGGGACTGGCCTACATCTACTCGTGTGCACAAAGGATGGCGAGACAGATGAGCTGGTTAAGGAAAGGGCTGGCTTGCTCACCAAACTTGAGGAGTTGAAGGACCAGCTCAAAATTCAAAAATCTAAGGATCTAAGTCATAGATCACAGTGTAAGGAGGCAATCTCCAACCTGAAGGTAGATTTGATCCAGGCAAAAACAGATCTGGAAAATCAAAGAATCCGATGGGAGGAGGAGAAGTCTCGTCTCCTGACTGAGCACACAGAGGCAGCTTCCAAGCTGAAGGCAACTCTGATTGAAGACCTGGAGAAAAACTTGGAAAATGAACGACGCCAGTGGGAGGAGGAGAGGTCTCGTCTCCTTATTGAGCATGCAGATACATCAATCAGCCTGAGGGGAACACTAATCCAGGTGAAAAATGATCTGGCAAATGAAAGATCCAAGTGGGAGAATGAGAAGTCCCATCTTCTGGCTCAGCACATCAAGGCAGCCTCCAGTCTGAAGGCAACACTGACACAGGAGCTGGAAAACAAAAGATGCCAGTGGGACAATGAAAAGTGCCACCTCCTCATTTAGCACACAGAGGCAATCTCCAGCCTCAAGGCTGCATTAACTGAAACAAAGGAAAACCTGGACAGTGAGCAACTAAAGTGGAATCAGGAAAGGTGTGGCCTCCTGGAGTCTATCAGGACTACGACCCAGGCTGTGACACAGCAGGAAGAACAGAGAAGGCAATGTACAAATGGACTTGTGGAAAAACTAAACAATCTAGAAAATCAGATTGAGGAGGTTCAGAAAAAGCCAAAGAAAACAAGCTTGAAGAAAAGATCTCTCAAGATCTTTAAGAAAAGATAATTGGTGAGCCTGGTTAATTAGCACGGTGGCACAGTGGTTAGCGCCGTTGCCTCACAGCGAGAAGGTTCCGGGTTCGGGCCCCACCTGGGACCTTTCTGTGTGGAGTTTGCATGTTCTCCCTGTGCTTGCGTGGGTTCTCTCCGGGTGCTCCAGCTTCCTCCCACTGACCAAAGACATGCAGCTTAGGTTGATTGGTGTCTCTAAATTGCCCATAGGAGTGCGTGCGTGTATGTGTGGTTGTTCGTCTATGTGTTAGCCCTGCGATGGATTGGCGACCCCCCGCCTTTGCCCGATTGCTGGCTGGGATTGGCTCCGGCCCCACCCGTGACCCCGTTCAGGGACTAAGCGGTAGAAAATGAATGAATGAATTGGTGAACCTCACTTGACCTGCATCCACTCCATCAAGAAAATAATGACTAATGAAAGATAAAAAAAAGTAGAAACATTTTATTTTACAGGTCTGCTACCTCCTCTATCTGTATCAGACCTGTAAAATATACATGCAATTGTGGGCAGCACAGCGGTGCATTGATTAGCACTGTTGTCTGACAGCAAGGTTCTGGGTTTGAGCCCTGGCCGACCTGGGAACTTTCTGTGTGGAGTCTGCATGTTCTCCCTGTGCCTGCGTGGGTTTTCTCCGGGCTCTCCGGCTTCCTCCCACAGTCCAAAGACATGCAGCTTAGGCTGATTGGTGACTCTAAATTGCCCCTAGGAGTGAGTGTGGATATACATATAATAACAAACCCATTTAATAAACAGAAATAAACATGCATTTTAATACACCAACAAAAAAGTGTCTTACTTGACTCCTGACAGTTACACAGTGTCAATCAATGAAGCATAAACTTTATTTGTCAAATAGGTTAAGATACAAGGAATTGGACTCAAGCTAAATGACCTCCAACGTGCACTAAATAAAACAGAAAAAAACAAGGTGAAAGTATGAGGGACTATGTAATAGTCAACTGAGGTGCAATACTCAAATCCTGGGGTAAAATGCATGGTTAATATGCACATATGTAAATTCTGTTCTTGATTATTCAAATACTTGATTCTGTCTATTTTTGAGTACTTGGAATTTATTTATCAGGTGTGTGCGGTGCTTGTTCTCATGGTGTTATGTTGTTTGTTCTCCATTGCTGCTGAAAAACTGAAATTTCCCCATTGAGGGATCAATAAAGTACCTACTACCTGCCTACCTACCTCACAAATGTGAGGGTTTGCTGCTATTCTCTGTTTCATATTGTTAATTGAATACCTGTGCTAAGTGAAAAGAAATCTGAAGGTAGGAGTTCCACCAAAGGGGGATGCCAGACCCCGGTGGCTTGCTCCTTGTCGCCGTATGTCTGTCTGTGGTTCAGCTGCACTATGGGTGATGTACAGTAGGCCCCAGTTTCTGAAAAGGAAGAGGAATATGTGCTGCACAAATTCTGATAACTTTCTTAAATGGTCCAACAAGAATCTGACAATGTTATATGAGTGCAATGTGATTTCTTATTGATGTATTGAAACAGGAAAGGTTTGTTGTCCACTTACTTTAGACCACATAGTGCATCTTTGCTTGCTACTGCCATACTTCTTTTATTGCTTTCCGAGGTCAGTAAGGTTTCATTTTATACCTGTTTCTTGTTTCCCTTGTCTAATCTTATCTGTTGAGTACTGTGAAACACCATGGCTACAACATTACCTCCACAGTATGATTCAGAATTTTTCAGTACAAATGATTGAGAGTGAATGACGAACAGTGTGTGAATGACCTCACATTGGTCTCTGAGAGAAGCCACCTCATTCCCATCAATCAGCTGCCTGCTCGCTACCTGGGGGCAGAGACAGTGAAGACAAAGCACAGTTACCTTCTGGAAATTGCTATAATTGAGTGATTAAGACCGATGATGTCAAATGAACGTCGGATGGTTTACTTAGCCTTCATTCAAACACATCAGTATGACTCACTAGTGTACTGGCCTTGGGCTTTGTGCTTGGCATCTGTGCTCATGCTGCAACAGTCCCTGGTGAAAGACAGTGATGGTGGTGAGTCACAAAGGGTGTTTTTGTACAGAGTATAAAATCAAAACACATTGGATTACTAGAAGAGTGGACCTGTGTTCATATGTTCCTCACTGGATGCTGTTTTGTGGTGCCTCCACTTTTGCCTTAACGCTGCTGGGGCCATAATTATTGTCATGTTCATCATGAGCTCTGAAATGGTAAAATTCATTTACTGAGCTGACTTGAAGGAGATTTTAGATTAAATGACATTTATCACTGCACATTACTTACATGCTGGATCCACTGTTGTAACAAACTAAGCATACGCATAAACTTTAAGCATAAACATAAGCATAAGTTTTATTGCCAAGTATTTAAAAAATGCAAGGAATGTGACTCAGGCTCAATGGCCCCTGATGTGCACAACATAAAAACAGAATAAATAAATACAAAAAAATATATACAAGTTAAAAAAGCCTGGGGGAAGAAGCTGTCTCTGTGACCTGTGGCACTGTCCGGAGGGGAGGAGTTCATGTCCCACTTGTGTACAAATCCTCCATGGAGGGCAGGCTGGCACCAGTGGTTTTCTCTGCAGTTCTGACTGTTTGTTCGGTTGCTGAGCCTTTAGAGTTGAATCAGCAGCTCCTGAGGCAGGTTGAATTTCCTGAGCTGACACCTTCTTGATGATAGTGCTGAAATTGGTTGTCCACCTCACCTCATTGTGGGTTCAGTGTCTTGCCCAAGGACACTTTGACACATGAACTACCGGCACTACTGGGTGGGAGACGACTGCTCTACCCACCGCACCACTATCACCTCCTGAAAAAGTGGAGTTTTTCTCCAGGTCTTGGATCAGAGTTGTCTTCAGTTCAAAACTGAAAAGAGCTTGATTAACATTTGTGTTTGGATGTTTTTGGAAGTGGATCTATGAGGATATTTCCCTTACACCATGTGACTGACATGTCCAAATAGCAATTCAATGGTGCATTTTACTCTCAGTGCCATGCTTCTGGACTAGGTGGGAGACTGAAGCCTTGTGATACCTTTTTCAGCCCTTCAGTTCAAATGAGGTAGTTGTCCTTAACCACAAAGTCATGGTTGTTCTGGATGGGAGTGTAGTTTGATGGTGTGAGGGTGACGTTGGTGATTTTCCACCAGGCTGTCAGAGCAGGAGCTATGCTTTGAAGCAGGACTGTGTTTCATAGCTTGGCTTAAAAACGAACTGTGCGGAGTCTAAGCCTCCTTGAGTTTTGGAGTATAGGAGTGTTTTATTCTTCCAGAAGGATTTATAGAGGGAGAACCACTGAAAACAGATTATTGGGAGTATTGGCATTTTGATGGTTTCTATTCTGCCCAGAAGTAACAAGTTCATCCAGTGAGCTCATCATTTATTGTTTTGAACAGTGAGGTGAAGTTGAGACTAAACAGCTCTGACAGCTTGGGGGAAACACTGATGCCTAAATATATTATGTGACCAGTGCACAGTGGGACAGGTGATGTATGGGCTGCCACATCGCAGCTGTTTGTACCTAAGGGAAGGATATTGAATTTAGTCCACTTAATAGAATAATACGAAATTTTAGAGAAGGGCTGATGGTTTCCTGTGGTGATGATCGAGGGTTATGTGAATACTGTAATCTATCATCTCTGTAAGGTCTGATCTTGTGTAGTGTCTCAGGTGTTTGAATTGGTTCAGTATTGATATTTTGACGAATGACTGCTGCTAGGCTCAGTGAAAATGGTGAAAAGGGAGGGGAAGAATTGTCGTGTGCAATGGGAAATTTTGTGATGTTTGTCCATTTGTGCTAACAGTGACCGATGGGGAGTTTTATATAATATTTAACTTATTTATAAAAGATTCCCCAAAGCCATCATTTTCCAAAGTGTTAAAGTTCTAATTCACTTTGTCAAAAGCTTTTCCTGTATCTAAGGAGACTGTTATAGTTTTTATTATGTGAAGAGATGAGTAACCAGCTTGACCTGGGTGAATTGTGGACAGAAAGACTTTTTTTTATTCTGTGAGATGCCACTTTGCTGATCTTTTTGTGGCTCTGTTGATAAGTGTAATGGGATGGTAGCTGGAGAAGTGGTGTTTTTGTTAGGTTTAAATAGAAGAAAGATTGTGGCAGTGGTCCTGTCTGCTGAGACTCTGGAGTTTTGTTTTATTTCAGTTAATAAAAAATGGTGTTAGGATAGTCTAAATGTGCCCAGAAGACCTCAGCAGGGAAGCCACCAGGTCCTGTTGCTGGTCTATTTGGTATTTGATTGAAGGTAGTACTTACTTTTTTGTTTGTTTGTTTGACAGGGACTATACAGATAAACACTTTAACATAAAAGTAAGTAGAGCAACAGATGGAATATATATACAGTATGCAAGTATACAGTAAGTACGGGCGTCTAGCTGAAGCTAATTTGCAGCTCAGTGTCAGGTAAAATACAAGGGGAACAAGGATGTCTACACTTGGAATCATGTTGTACAGCTTGTGTGTTTTAACACATAATGTAGATCTACCTGTGCATGTCTGTTTCTCCTACTAGGTGCACACAACCCCTCTTTGTGAGTCACTCCTGTCCCTTCACCACCTCCTCCCTCCCCCCTAACCATCCCTACAGCTGAAAGACAGATGAGTCAGCAACACAGCATCCTGGCTTGTGTGATAAGTGATAAGCCTCCTCTCATCTTTTGTCTCATCTACTACCCGCCACCGTCCATCTCTGCCCCCATGGCTCTGCCACAAAAGGCTATGATTCATGCACAGATTAGTGTCTGAGGTTTAAAAATAAGCCCCGCCAAGCTGGATGTGTCCTGCAACGACAACACAGAAGCACGTGTAAATCCAGCCATGATCCTCACCTGCACCACTTGACATCAACAGGGCTCAGTTTGCAGTTGGATGTGAGTTATTGTTCTGTCATTATTGAGGTTTAACTGAAACAAAAATTATTTCTGCCAGTAAAGTTTTGTTTATATACAAGTTAATCCATTGTTTTTAAGAGGATGTCGTCCATAACATATATAAAAGTTGCTAGAATTTTATTTATTGTAAAAATATGCACATTTACTTTTGTTCTGCACCCAAATGAAGAAACACAAAGACAGTGCCAGGGAGGCGAGCACAATGATTTAATAAAGAAATGATTTAATAAAGAAAATGACAAAAAAAAAAACTTAAACTGGTGGGTTAAGAGCACTAACTCCTGCCCCAGTAACAAGAACAGACCTGGAAATAGGAATTGTATTGGCAGCTCCATTCAACCCAGGTACAGGAAAAGACGAGGCGTCTACTCTGTGTCAGCAACAGGAACCAACTGGAACATGCCTGACACACCAAAATATGAATAAGCATCAAAAACCTCTGTCATTACCCTTGTCATGGTGCAGAAACAACACACTCAGAACTTTAAATGTTAAACTTGCTCTTTCTTTCTGGAGTCAGCATTTGATACAATCTTCTGCCGTTTGCACAGTCTCCATTGATCTTTGTGCAAAAGACCACAACAAGCCATAAAAGCATTTCAGGACAGTGGCCAAGATGCTCATATCCTGAAGCGCTTATGATGTACAGGGATTTTAAAGGCCAGGGTTTCTGTCATGTCTACATGGAAAAAAAGCAAACAAACCTGAGACAGAGATGATTACTAAGCATAAATGCATCATGTGAATGTCTTGTATTAACCTTCTGAAGGATTGCAAATATAGTAAAAAGAGAGAAAATGTGTGATGTTCAGTGTTCTTACAGCTTGATATGCAAATACATTTTCAACTATAGTAAAACATACAATATTCCAAACCAGTGAACACAGTTAATTTTCATATAAATATTTATTGCAGAGGAGGTATCTTTTATGTACATGCTATCACAATATAACACAATATAAATCTATGAAATATTCCCATATATTGATGCTATAAGCTTGTCATAGAGCAATAGTTATAACAAGCACATAATACAGTGGGCTAGGGACAGTATCACTCACTATACAACTTGGAACAGTTCATTTAAGGTCACTGTTTTTTTTCTCTTTTGTTCTAACAAGGGCAGTGAAACATTGGTCCTACTAATTTCTTGAATTCATGCAGAAGCCACGAGAGCAAGATTTACAACATTACAGCATTGAATAGTAGTACTAACAATAGTAGTTGTATTTGCCATTGGGTGACTTGGACTGGTCACAGGTTTAAATGAATGCTGCTAGCCAACAGAAAGCATCAGGGTAAAGATAAAGACTGGTGGACAAAGAGTTACAAGACACAGTGTCATCAATATTAAGATGGTACAAGAACAATGGTCTCAGTTTGCACACCCAAGTAAACTGGCTGAGGTTCAAATGTTCACAGATTTATTGATGATACCACTAAAATACATCGAAAGTCTCCAGAGCAACAGACAGTAAGACACTGGCTATGCTTGCACAGTATAACACAGAGACAGCTATGAACTGACACTAAATTCTGCAAATAAAACAGAGTAGAATGGCTGCAAAAACTGTGACATAATTTCTACTATAACAGTGGGATACTGCACCACATTATTTATACTTGACAAAGTTTAACTGCTATCATGTTTCCTGTAGTGCATTTTGTGTACAAATGCTTAAAATAAACAAATAAAAAATAAGCTTTCACAGCAGAAGATATATGTTTGTTGCCTGATAGTGTCATAAAATATTGCTGGGTTTGGTGCCTTTTTTTTTTTTATTGTAAATAAATTGTTTGAATGGTTTCACAGCCTGTATAAGCTCAATCTAAACTTATGTGGAACATGTAGCCTAAATAATTATCATGAAATGAACATCAGCTCATTCAAAATTTTAAAAGAAATTTTTCTGTTTTTACACCAGGGGTCAGGATTCGCTGTATATTAACATTCTCCATCTGTTCCCCCCCACAGGTCAATGGCACTGGTAATTTCTCAGCAGGTAAAGGCAGTAATAGAAGATGTAACATATAAATCATGTAGAACTGTGCCACCAAGTTACAATATTCATCACCTGATTTTATTCCTCTTGAGCTGTGCCAATGAAATTTAACAATTTATGGATGGTGTTAAACTTATCCCAATTTGAGTTGCGTCAAGAAGGGCATCCAGCGTAAAACACATGCCAAATGTATACATGTGAAGAGTTGATTCGCTGTGGCGACCCCTAACAGGAACAGCCGAAAGTGGTAGTAGTAGTAGTAGTAGTAGAACTAGTAGATGGATGGTGTTAAACTGAATGAGGACTTAAAATTCTCACTGATGAGGACAGATTTTTATAACTATTTGTAAGGACTTCTACAGAACTGAATATTTTGTCAAGAGGAATTTGAGAGCTGTTACAGGTAATTACAATCAGTGACAACAGTCTCACAATATACAATGAATTACTGTAGATGCTTTAATACAGTTTTCCTCACAATACTGCAAGTATTGCCAAGTGTTTAACGATTACTATTTTGAATACAAGTGGGAGAATGCTTTTCATTTCCCAGGATGTATAGTGCATGATAATTATTTAGACATTTTGATACAAAACACTGAACAAATTAAAACCTGCCAAAGGTTTAGTCAGGGTTGAGAAACTGACAACCACTTTGCCGAGTCTAATTCTATAACTATTAGCATAATTAATCAGTTGGCTTTAGCCTACTTTGTATTAAAACATGAAGAACATGCTAATTGTGAACTTTCAATATGGAAATGCAAAGAATATTTAATGCTTACTTGGGTTTTATTTTTTATAGTTATGACCATTGTTTCTTTCACTTGATAATATTGTACTCCAAGTAATTGCATAGATTTGAAAACAAGCCTACATCACTACAACAAAGTCTGACAGTAAAAGAACTGGTCACATGATCAGACAAGCTGTAAACAAGTTTGCCCAAACCGTCTCATTTGGAGATGAAACTGGAAATGTCACCAAACCAATTAACAAAATCAGTTTAGCATTCAGCACTCACTGAACTGTAGGCCGTTCTTACCTCGGTACTCCCTAATGTTCAAACAGCAGCCCATTCCCTACAGAATGCTTCAAGGTGACCTACGTAATCTGCCTCCTCACAGGCCAAGAACTGCCAACTGGGAATGCCAGTTCAAGATCTGCTCCTTCCTTCAGCTCTTCTCTGCTGAGTTCTGGAAGGTGTTTGGTCAGATGGTCATTGGCAAGCTGCACAAGGACTGGTTCAGTTATGCCAAGGTGAGAGGAGAGTCGTGGACTATTCTAGTAGACATCACCCAAACTTTGGGCTACCACTCAAACCTCTGCTCTGAAGAATTGTCCACCTTATCTGCATTTTCAAGTGTTCTAATGGGGGCATTTCTTGAGGCTGGCATGTGTGTGGTTCACACACTCTTTTTGATCTGGCAGTGGTTTTGGTAGGAGACAATGGGGAGACCCTGGAGTTTTTGATTGTATGCTCTGCATGTTTCCAGCACATCTCACATAAAGCCCCTGCTTGACTCCTTCATTTCTTGCCAGTCACATATCATAAATTGGACTTTATCACCGAACTGCCCCCACTGAACGGTAATACTGTTACTCTTACTGTGTTGAGCCACTTGTATACATTGACCCGTTTTATCTCTTTACCCCAGTTCCATAAAGCCGATGAGATCATGGAATAAATGTTAAAGTACATGTTTTGGATTTGTCACATCTATTTTTTGGAAAAGGTTTTGCAGATATCTGGGAACCACATTCATCCCTTCATTCAGATTCCATCTGCCGTCCAATGGCCAGACTGACCGGACAAATCAGGAGTCAGAGACAGCACTGCGCTGCCTCTCTTCAGAGAATCCCACCTGCTGGCCTTAGCAGTTGCTTGGGGTTGGATATGCTCAATTTGTTTTACCTAGCTCCTCCACTGGCATGTCCTTCTGCTCTCCCCAGAGCAAAGAAGAAGAAGCATGTGTCCCCTCTGTGCAGGCTTAAATCTGCCATTGCCACCAACCTGGGCCAAAGCCTATGCCGATCTACTTCATGTTTCCTGAGAGCACCTACAGTAACTGGTGATAGACTCCAGTCCCCCAGTATGTCCCTGGGTATCTATCTTGTTATCATCTACTAAGTATCTTTCCCTGAAAACGGATTCCAGAAAATTAGCTCCTCAGTTTGTGGGACTCTTTTCCACTTCCAAAATGATGAGATCAATCCGGTGGCATGATGATTCACCCCACATTCCATGTTTCTCAGGTCAAGCCTATAAGTTCCAGTCTGTTGGTTGGTTGTTTCTTGATTATTGGACTTATTCTCTGCCTTTTCCCAATCTGTAGCTCTGCTTGTTACTAATCATTGAATGTCTTTTTAACTATGATCATGTTTACCAATGCCATTAAAGATAAACTGTCTAGACTGAATCCTTTGATTCCCAGTCATGCTATCCTTACCTGATCACATGGCAGCCCCAGTAAAAGGGCAAAAACATGGATGAGCATGACACTGCTGTACATACAAGTCAATCAACAAGACTACTTTACAAATCAACATTCTTAAATTGTTGTAAAAATGTTAAATGACATTGACAGGACAGATACATCACTTGCTCTTAATTTTATAGGGTAAAACAAAACTATCAACACATTGTCAAAGAAAAATAGTGTTGGCATACACAACTATTCCAAGTATGGTGGTTCAAAATTGAGCCAGAAAGTTGCGGTATAAGCTTGAGCTTTGTTGTATTGATATTGCCTCAAAGAAAATTGTAATACACCGGTATTCTTCTTTAAGCAGTGGGTTCTATCAGCTGTTTGCAAAATGAAATTGGTGACCGGTTTGCCTTTTACTTTTGGTGTTTGAGACAGTGAATGATCATGTATCAGACTCCAGAGATTAAACTCTTAGGGTACTGCAATCAATTTTTACATAAATTAATAAAATTGTGTCCACAGACACTTACATAGAGTACACACACCCACACACACACCCACACACACACTTTGCGCAAGTCAACACAAAGGCCCATGCTGGATTCATAAACAAAGCTGGTGCAAATTATTTCCTGTCATCCATCTGTATTTCTCCATCCCTACCTTTTACAACATATGTTTAATCCATTTTGACACACATTCATGTTAATGCTACTCTCATAAAATCTTAACCATCCAAAATTAGCTTTTGTAAATATAAAAGCAGGAAAGATAAATGCCTCTGGTATTAAAAACGTAAACTAAAACATTATATATTTGTCAGTACAGTACCTGTTTTAGTTGACAAACCAGTAGGGTCTAACTACTCTTAATACCTGGCTGTGCATGCTGTTTATATAGTTCATCACAAAATGCTGAAGAAGCCACCACTTGCTTTACTTCAGACTCATACAAGACAATGCTAGTTATGTAGGCACATACAGTACATCTCTGCAGACACGGAAGCATTTTAATCTGCTGAGTACTACAATTAAATAGATCTAAACAAAAATATGTCAAATTTTGGTCAGTGTGTGATATCCTTTGTGATATCATGCCATGACTTTGAAAATAAGATGAAATATACAAGAAGAAGAGCCTGTCCACAGCTCTTTCTTTATGAAATTGGCTAAAGTGCTATAGACTGATTTCCTTCCCTCAGTGCTAAGGGTTAGACACAAAACAAAATAATTTTACCAACTAAAGACTGACATTCCCCTCTTCGCAAATTCTCCATTATTCTTTGGCTTTCCGTTTTGTGGTTCAGCCTTTAACTCATACTTATTTTTCTTAACACAAAACAATATTTTTGTCTATACCTCTAGTCATGCCATATCCTAGTCCAAAAAACAATGATGTTAATGCACAAAATAATGTAAAAATGGACTGAATACAGTACATGACAAATGCTGATTTTCAACATTGCTCAAGTGAAAAGGTTCAATTGAAAGTTGCATAATTAGTCTAAGATTTATATTCAGGATTATCCTGTAATAATCTGGAATGCTCATTATGACTTTTTTGTAGTTTTTGTTTTTTGTTTGTTTTGTACATTTTACTGGTTTTCACAATAGGTAAAACAGGAATAAAACCTCGGAAAGCAAGGCAACTTGTGAAACTTCATTTACTTTTCTTCCAAGTCGCCGCACTAATAGTAAAAGATAATATTTAACAAGTTCAAAGTGAAAAAAGTGTACAGTGTATATCTATAACTATAATTTCAGTGGTCCATTAAGGAAGTTTGAGTGTCATGCATTCTTGCTTGATGTGCTATCCTCAAAGTCCCAGGGACAAACATCTGCCATTTTAGCAGCACCCGCAGCCACGCCTTTAGTATTTGGATTGTTCTGTTTCACTACAGCAGCTCTTTTGTCTGTACCTTTTTTGTCTGGTGTATCCTCAAAATCCCAGGGACAAACTTCAGCCTGCTTTGCTTTGGATGCTCCAACATTTGTGCTTTTCCTTTTTTCTACCAGCAGCTCCTCCTGATGACTTTCTACATCCCAGGGGCATACCTCAGCTGTTTTTTGTTGGCTCACATGTTTCTCTGAAGATTTACTCTTGTTCTTTGCTTTTGTTGTACTTTTCTCATTATCATCATCTTTTGATTTTTCTTTCTCAGCTGTTCTTGGGAAAGGGGTACCCTTCTTTTTTGGAGGGGATTCCTTGTTTTTGTACATTTGAGAGGGACTAGGTGTCCTCTCACAATCTGGAGATACGGCCGGACCATCATAGTCCCAGGGACACACATCAGCTTTTGATATTGGTGGCTGGAGTGAGCTTCCTACTTTGAATAGATCCAAAAGGGTACTTCTCCCTCTCCCATCCACTGGAGAGTTTCCTTTTATCTGCCTTGTCATATCTGGTGAATGGGCTAACTCCGTCTTGTGAGCCTCTACAAAGTCCCATGGACAAATACCTGCCCGTTGTGTTTTAGAGCTTTCTACTGCAGAATGAGGCTGCTGGAGTTTACTGATTTGGCTAGGATGACTAGATATTTGTTGTTTTGACCTTTCTACTTGACTAGCATTATTCTCACCTCCATCCTCCCATGGACATACTTCTGCT